AGATCCTGCAGGAGCATTGCATAGGTAGATTTTTTTTTTGCATCCAAAAAAGCGACATGTTAAAAAAAACAAGAAAAAAACCACCCCCAAAACCACCCATCGCTCAAACAACACACAAAGTGCTTTTATTCTGGAGACAAAAGAGCCTCACAACACCAGAGCTCATCCTCTAGGATGCTAAAAGCCCAAAATCCCACGTTCCCATCTTTTCTCTGTAAATTAAAAGCCTTTTATGCACTTCGAATAGCAACAGATGGGGACCGGGAGTGTGGGGTACGAGCTGCCGACTGGGGACGCCCCGGCAATGAGAAAGGGTCTGGCTGCGCTGGCAGTGGAAAACCTCCGTCGTGCACCGAGGCCAGACCCCGGCCCAGCCGAGGGTCCCCCCCAAAGCCCACCACGGGACCCAAATTCCTCCGCCTCATCCCCGAAACGCCACCGCCTCGCTCCACTGGTGCAAAACCTCGTTAATGAGACGTTTCCCTTTCCTCAATTAAACTGTTTTCCTTCGCCCACCCTCTCCCCCCTGCGCGGGGGCTCATCCTTCCCCCAATTTCCAGCGACTTCCCATTGAAGCATCACTCCGGCTCCCAAGACAACGCCGGCTGATTCATCAGCTCCGAATATTTTAAACCCTATTGTTCTCCCCAGCCCTGTTTTCCCCTCTTTCTTGACAATACCGACGGGCTCCCTACTCGCAAGGGGATGTTTTCCCCCTCCTGGAAGCAGGACCAGCCCCTCGAGGACGGGTGGGTGGGAACGATCCCATCCCATTTGGGAATGATCGGGGTTTTGTTCCCAGCTGCAGGAGATGGGAGGAGGGAATTGCATCAGCTCCTGGCAGGATCCGGCCCCGGGGGGGCCACGCAGGACGGTACCACCAGCCCAGTCGTGCTCGTGCTGCAAGAAATTGCCCAAACCTGGGGGATGGATGGATGGATGCAAAAACCTGCCCATGCTAAGGGGATGGGGAGCAACCGGGAGCACTGGGATGGGGGCTCCTGGCTCGCGCTGCAGGGAAATTTGGGGAGGAGGTGGAGGTTGGGCAGGACCAGCACGAGCCGACCCCTCCGTAAGGGTGTCCCTGCCCCGGGGACGGTGTTATCCAGAAGGGAAAAACCAGCCCCTTCGCCGAGACGCCGGGCGGGCGTTTGCTCTCGGAGGTTATCGACCGTGCTTGGGAAGCAGAGCCCGGCCACCGCGAGAGGCTCCCAGCTCACCGGCAGCCCGGGGCACACGGGGGG